GGGCTCGGCTAGGAATTTTTCCGAGCCGAGCCCGAGCCGTCCGAGCTTTTTTGCCTTCCCTAGAACGATCAGGTTATTGAGATTCATACCCTTTTTAGTTTTCAATTCTTTCTGGACCAGTTCTTTTTGTGGCGTATTAGTTATTGCTATAATAATAATAATAATAATAATAATAATTGTTTCAATATTTCTTGTTTCTCGTCACTGTGTTGTCAATGTTTTGGGAAAATGAATGTTTAACTATTAAGTAATTAGTGGTTGATTGATCAATCGGATGAAATGTTTAAATATATCTATTAATTCTCATTTTTTGCCTTCTTGCTGATCTTGCGAGCATGCAAATTGGTGCATCTGGTTATTCTTTTTCATTTCTTTTGAAACCACGTTATATTTGAAACACTAGAAAGGTATTATTTATCAAAATATCAGCAATAATGGTATTTCATTCTTAATGCAACTTTCTAGCCTCATCTTGGTCCTCCATCTAGATTAGTTCTTCGGTAAGAATATGATTTAGATATATGCATATTTGGGTGTAAACACCATTTTTTGTTTTGGTTTTTGAGCTTTTCAATATGTTCTACATCGGAGCAGTGACATTATTTTTCTAATTGTTTTAGTAGTTGTTCAAGTTATAGCATCTGATGAAGCTATTCATGTGACGCCAGAAACAAAACCTGATTCTAGCACTAGAATTGTGATAAAGGTTGTAAGGAAAGTGATTAACAAAACTCCATTTTCCACTAGAGCTGCTTATGGAAGGACACCGAAATCAGGTGATGAAGCTATTCATGCGACATTAGAAACAAAACCTGATTCTAGCACTAAAATGCCTTAAAACCATCACCAACAATTTGCAATTAAGCCCCTAATTTTTTTTTTGCAAAAATTGAAAATGGTCTCAGCTTTTGAATTGGCGGCTAGACGCTAGCTTTCTACCCAAGATTCAGGAAATTGGCGCTTAGGTGCTGGTACTTGGTGCCTAGGCGCTGTACTTTCTTCCTCTTTTTGTAGCTTAAGTCCTTAGGTAATTGAATGTCATATTTTTAAATTTTGATCTTATATGTTTTGGTCCTCTAATTTTGACTTTTCTTTTTATTATGCCCTTCAAATTTGCATCGAAGGTCGAGAACTTTCAGCATATGTGCACTTTGGTCCCCAAAATTGTATTTTTGTATCCAAGAAAAAAAAGAGTGAAATGTGAAAATGTTATTTGAAAGTAGAGGAATGTCAAAGGACAAGATCTGAACCGTTTAAATGGAGAATTAAATGATTAACGACTATTAATCAGTGCTTCTAGAAGAAAGAGGTTGCCTCATCGCTCACAAGGTGACGTGTTTTTGACATTTATGGAGAGTAATTATTACAGAAATTGGAAGTTGTGCCAAATTATTTTCAAGAGGTCAGCCCCTCACCTAGGACAACATTGACCTGGGGTGTAACTGTTGACACCGACCTCCGATGTCATTTAGTTCGGATTGATGTACCCAGTAAGGGGATAATGATGTGAGCTCGAATATGCGAGTTCAGTTAGAGTCTTGAGTGACTTACTCAAGAAGGTTGTGTAGTCCTTCAATGTGAAATAATGAATAATAATGAAGAATCACTGACAGGATATACGGGCTACCCATTAGGAGGATGCATATGAAAAGGTCTTACGTCAGAGCTCACATTATCCTCCAATCAGAAATCTTAGCCTCCCTTCTTAAATAATGCATTAATTGCTGGGACCATATGCACCAGTAACTCATGATCAACTAACGGAGTCGAACTCGGCAACCAATCATATTACGCCAACATATGTACTTATTTAGCTCGGTATTGCAGATTGACATAACGAAGGTACATTGTGCATGCATTACCCCACTATAAAAAGAGAATGAGAGGACACGAGGAGTGGACACTTTCTCATTCTCTTCATATTTCAAATATCTCCTATAATGGGGAAAAGGAGTATGATTGTGTAATAATCTTGTAATCCATTGGTAAAAGATCGATCAATTTCGTGTTTATTCCCTAAGTTGGCTTGAATATTGTTTATACATTTTTCAACGTCAACATAGTAGATTTGTGAATAATGTATGGTTAACAAATAATGAAAATTTTTGGATTTGCTTGTACTATTATTTTATTGAATAATATGTGATTGAAAAGAAAAGAGATAAAAATATATTTTAAAAATAATGGAGATTAAAGACATAAAATAAATTACGAGAAGTAATCAATAAATATTTATGGAGAAAAACAAAATAGATGATTTAATAATACTATAGGCCTTGTATGGGAGGGATTAAAATCGGATTAAAATTGAAAATATAGCTGTTATTGTTGACTTTTATTAGACGAGTGGGATCAATAACGACCATATTTTCAATTTTAATTGACTTTTAATTCCTCCCGAACGGGGCTATATGAAAACACTGCCTTTTTGCCACTATATATAGTTACGTACGCACAATACCGCAGTATAACCAAGCTAGAGATAGAATTATCAATTTGCAAAAATAGAATCTGATCGGAAGAGAAAGAACACTTCGATCTCTTCTGCAGATCGAAGCCACGAGCGCCATAACCACAGCCTTAAGAACAGTAACAAGAAAAAGACCAAAATGTCCTCATCCTCTTCATCTGAAAAAGTTAGGGCTTCCCATATACTCATAAAGCATCAGGGCTCCCGCCGTAAGGCCTCCTGGAAGGATCCTGAAGGCCGTGTTATCAGCGCCACCACTCGTGACGACGCCGTTTCGCAGCTCAAGGATCTCCGCGTTGACATCGTCTCCGGCAAGGCCTCGTTCTCCGATGTCGCTTCCCGTTACTCTGATTGTAGCTCCGCCAAACGCGGCGGCGATCTCGGTTTGTTTCTCTATACTTCTTTTCAGCAGCCATTGTTACGGATTTATGTTGTTTTTTCTGTGATTTTGGGAAGGAAATATTAATTTTTACTTGTTTTGCCTTGTCTGAAATCTGAAGCTTCCACTTTTCCATTTGCAATTGGCGAGTAATTTTAGCAAATACTAGGAATGACAAAGGGGATAATAATTTCCTTAGCACTTGTCTTTTTCTGAATTGGTGGGTTTATTGCGAAAACTATTACAATTTGGAGAATTGAATCAGAAGTTTTTATTTCTCTAACCATGAAAGAGTAAAGTCGATACATTAAATAGAAAAGGAAGAAAAGAGGCAGGAAGCCAAAACAATAAGAAAAACCAGCTGGCAAACTAAATGTACAGGTGGCAAACTAACCCAACTAACCACTAACTAAACTATAGTTATAATACGCCCCCTCAAGATGTGCGATAAATGTTCTTCACACACATCTTGGACAGTAAAGGAGCAAGTGTAGAGGCAGGCAAAGGTTTGGTAAAAGCATCTGCGAGCTGATGATGAGTGCGGATGGGAAGAACCTTGACCGCCCCAGCTGCAATTTTGTCACGAATGAAGTGACAATCGATCTCGATATGCTTCGTCCGTTCGTGGAAAGTGGGATTATTCGCAATCTGAAGAGCAGCCAGATTATCACAATATATCACTGCTGGAAGAGTGCCTTCAACCTGAAAATCGCCTAACAGTTGCTTGATCCAAATTATCTCACTGGTAGTGGCTGCAAGGGCCCTATATTCGGCCTCAGTAGAAGAACGAGAGATGGTAGGTTGGCGCTTAGATTTCCAGGAAACCATGGAATCGCCAACAAACACACAGAAACCAGTGGTAGATTTTCGTGTATCCAGGCATGAGCCCCAGTCGGCATCTGAGAATGCTCGAATTGTGATAGACTTTGCAGGAGCTGAAGAAAAATAAATGCCTTGACTAGAACTACCCTTCAGGTAACGAAGTAGGTGATGAATAGCTTTAAGATGAGGTAACCGTGGCTGGGACATATATTGGCTCAATTTGTGAACAGCAAAAGTAATGTCTGGCCTGGTGAGGGTCAAATAAATCAATCTTCCAATCAGTCGCCTGTATGGAGACGCATCTGGCAATAAATCCCCTTCATGTATGCTAAGTTTAATCCTTGGATCCATAGGACTAGTGGCTGGTTTGCAATCTAAATATCCAGCATCTTCTACTAACTGTAAGGCATAATTTCGTTGTGAAATGACTATCCCTGAGGATGCTTGAGCAATTTCAATCCCCAAAAAGTACTTCAAACACCCCAGATCTTTAAGTTTGAACTGAGAATTTAAGAAGTCCTTCAACCCAGTAAGAATGTGCAAATTTGGTCCATTGATGACAATGTCATCAACATACACCAATAAGCCTATGAAATTATCTCCTGACCCCTTGGTAAAGAGAGAATAATCCGCCTTTGATTGGACAAAACCATGTCGAAGTAGAGCACCAGAAAACTTGGAATTCTACTGTCGGGAAGCCTGCTTGAGGCCGTATAATGACTTATGTAACCTACAAACCAATTTCGCCCCCTGTTGGAGAGGTTTAAGAAGTTCATAGCCAAGAGGTAAATCCATATAAACCTCCTCAAGCAGATCACCATTCAGAAAAGCATTATTGACATCAAGTTGGATCAAATGCCAGTTCTGAGAAGCTGCAAGAGTAAGTAGAAGCTTTACAGTAACATCCTTAGCCACTGGAGAGAATGTGTCGAAGTAGTCTAAACCCTCTTGTTGGGTGAAGCCTTTCGCAACCAAACGAGCCTTGTGTCTGTCCAAAGAGCCATCAGAATTATACTTGTTCTTGTAAATCCATTTGCATCCAACTGGATGCTTGCCAGCAGGTAAAGGAACAATAGACCAAGTATGATTTAGTTCTAAAGCTTCCAATTCAGTCTTCATGGCATCTCGCCACTGAGGAAACTTGACTGCATGTTGACTGCATGACTGAAGTATGAAGGTTCAGATTGAGATGTAATGTTCATTACAAGATGTTGATGGGAGTTGGAGATTTTGGCATAGGATAGGAAATTTCCAATGTGATATGGAGAAGTAGAAGCAGGGCTGAGATTAGGTGTAACCAGGTTACAATGATAGTCTCTGAGGCGAGACGAAGGCCTAGAGACTCTCTGAGATTTTCGGATAGGATGTGTAGAAGGGACATTAGTGTGAGGAATATCATCAGGAACATGAGTAGGAGGATGAAGAACAGGGTTGAGTGCTGGGATATCAAGATCACCAAGAATGGTAGATGAAGATGGTGGAGCATATGAAACGTCCTGTGGTACAGCCAATGGTAAAACGAGATCAGGAAAAGGATCAGAGATGTGATGATCAGTAATGGAATGAAAGGGAAAGATGTCTTCGTAAAAAAAGATGTCTCTAGAAACAAAAATTTGCTTAGATACAACATCAAGGAGTTTAAATCCCTTAACTCCTGGGGAATATCCTAAGAAAACACAGGTTCTGGCCCTAGGGTGAAATTTTGACCTATGAGCATGAAGAGTGGAAGCAAATGCTAAACAACCAAAAACTTTGAAATAGGAGTAGTCTGCCTTGGTTCCATAAAGCAATTCGAAAGGAGTTTTGTGATGAAGAATGATAGCAAGTGTTCTGTTGACAAGATGAATAGCAGTGAGCACGCATTCAGACCAATATTGAATAGGAATTCGAGACTGGAAGAAAAGAGAACGGGCGACATTAAGGATATGCTGGTGCTTGCGTTCAACAACAGAGTTCTGTTGGGGCCGTTCAACACAACTAAATTGATGAATAACTCCTTTTTCAGCAAAGAAGTCCTTGAACAATAATTCATTTGCATTGTCTGATTTGAATGTTTTAATAGAGGCATTGAATTGAGTAGCAATCAGGCTGAAAAACTGTTGAACAATTCTTATAGCATCAGATTTTTGCCTCAACATATATACCCAGGTGAATCTGGAATGATCTTCCACTAATGTTAAGAAATACCGATAGCCAGAATATGAAGGCACGTGATACGGACCCCATATATCACAATGTACAAGTTCAAAAGCTTTACTGGAAACATGATTATGAGAAACAAATGGTAATCTCCTCTGTTTTGCTAAAGGACATATATAACAAGGCAAATGTTTATTGGAAATGTCAAAATCAAACATCAACTGATCCTTCAGTACAGCTAATTTCTTGGAGGAAAGATGGCCAAGTCGATTGTGCCAAACATGAGCAGAAACAGAGTTAACAAAAACATTGGAAACAGAAGTAAAAGTGTTTGTGTTCAGTACATATAGGCCTTGCAGAATGCTACCCTTGCCAATCATCTTCGTGGTGGACACTTCCCGGATTTTGAACTGATCATGAAAAAATTGTACACTGATGTGAGATCCAATGGTTAAGGCACTAACAGACAGCAAATTGAACTTAAATTGCGGCACAAACAACACATCATGTAGCAACAGATCAGGCCCTATTTTCACATCTCCACAAAGTGTGACAGGTATGCAAGTGTAGTTAGGTAGGGTGATGGTTGAGTCAGAGATAGGTCTTAGATTTGTAAAGGCAGCAGCAGTATAACAAACATGCCGTGAAGCACCTGAGTCCACAATCCATATATCCTTTGCATCAAAAAGTGGTTTAACTGACTTAGAGATGTATATACCTGCAGCATATGAGGTCTCAGCTTTATCCGTATTAGTTGAAGAGGATTGTGAAGTAGAAGCCAAGTGTGTAGATAACATTGTCATCAGGTCTTGGTATTGGTTTGGACTCAAGTTCTGCATGAATTTGTCAACTCCAGTGTGAGGATCTGTAGGCCTCTCCTCGATCTGTGGATGAACAGAAATTTGATTAACATTGTTACCTTTGGGAAAATATTGAAAATTATCTCGTGGCCTAGATTTAAAACAAGGTGGAAACCCATGGATTTTGTAACATTTATCAATTGAGTGGCCATGATATTTGCAGTGAGTGCAATAAGGCCTATCCTTTTTCCAGTTGCCAGATGCACTTCGAAAACCAGAATTGGTCCTGTCTCTACCATTATCAGATTGAAAAGCAAAAGCAGTTCCACCGTCTGAAGCAACACTGATAGAAGTATTGCTCATCTTTCGCTGATGTTCTTCTTGTGAAATCAGTGAGAACACCTTATTAATAGAAGGCACGGAATCCATTAGAAGAACCTGACCTCGTACTTGAGAGAGAGTCGTGTAGTCCCATGAAAAAGGCCATGATGTATTCCATCTGATAGTGTTTATTCAGTTCTTGAACACCACCACAAACACATTTTCCACAACTACAATTAGGTCGAAAATTTGTCAATTCCTCCCAAATAGTCTTGAGTTTAGTGAAGAATACACTTACTGAGTTCTGATCTTGCATCAAATTCATTAGTTCTTTCTTTAATTGAAAAATTCTCGGACCATTATTGTGTTGAAAACGTTCTTTTAAATCATTTTAGATCTCATAGGCAGAAGAATCATAAATCACACTGGCAGAGATATCCTTCGAGACAGAGTTAAGGATCCAAGATATTACCATATTATTGTTTCTAATCCATGAATTGACTAAATCACCATCATTATTCTCTGGTTTCTTCATGGAGCCATCAACGAAGCCAAGCTTATTCTTGACTGACAATGCGATAGTCATCGCGCGACTCCAGGAGCCATAGTTCTCTCCTGTGAGTTGTTGAGTAACAAGCACCAGACCGGGACTGTCGGAATGGTGTAAGAAGTAAGGACTGGAAGGTTCATCGACGATGGATTTGGTCGAGGCAAACCTAGAATCAGATCCTCCTTCATGAATGACTTGTTCCATGATGATATGAATGATAAATTGAAGATGAAATTGAGGTAAGGGCGAAGCAGATTTCAAAAAAAATGATAGAAGAGATGATGAATCGCGATTCTTAGAATCGAGAGAAAGGAGATGAACAGTGATTCAGAATCGAGAGGAAGAATGCAACAAACTCAAATCATCCAGTTC